CCCGTGTCCCCTGCATCGGCAGGCGGACTCTCAACCACTGCGCCACCAGGGAAGCCCAATGACAGAGGATTTGATTAAACAAAGTTTACACTATAACCAAGTCCAGCTGGATCTGTGCATCAGTGGGAAGCCCCAATTCCCCTGATGTTGTCCTTTAGTCCTTTTCACTCACAGTTTCTCTTCCAAGGCATTTTCTCTGACTCTGATAGTTGTGAGGTCACTCAATCACATTTATTTTAAGGGCCGGTCTGGCACACCCAGCATGGCGGCTCTGTGATGAAGGACTTCTGTGTTGAAGTCGCTGTGTACCCTAGGTTATGGCCTTACCCTAACCTATGGAGCAAGATCTCTGTGTCGTTCTGCCAAGACAATGCTACCATTGGGTTTGGGCTCAAATTTGGAATTTTTCCAGCAAAAATCATATTCTGATAGACTGTTAATTGAAACATCATCAGAATTATCTTGTACGGTCACCAGAAGACAGATCGGTGAAATCTGGGTTCTTCCGGGGGAGTTGCTAATTATAAATGGCTCTGATTACCTTTTGCTTGGGCTATTTCTCCAGGGAAATCTAGGAATCACGTCTCACCGGCACAGGCTGAAGCGTGTGTTTGTGACTTGTGCGGGGATTTCTTCCCTCTCGCTGGAGCTGAGGCCAAGGCCATCTTCAAAGTCTTCTCTCAATCTGTGTGTCTTTCTTCCATTTCCTTCTCCCTCTGGTTCCCCTCTCCTTGCTTTGCCCTTTGGGTCCCCTCTTCACCTTCTTTCACTTTGCCCACTGCCCTCCGTCATTTTCTTGCCCTCTCTCTCCTCTCTTTTACTGCCCTTGTACTTCCCCCCACTCTCCTCCTCTCTCAAGTGCTTCTTACTATAGTTCCATCTTTCTCATTCCCTGTCTTCAGTTTCCCTCTATGATGACATCAGATTTCCTAAGGGCAGGGCGAACCCCAGCTCACTGAGTTTGTCCCAGTGCCTGCAGGCATTGGGCTGGTCTGATTCCATCTGTTCAGAACTCATTCATTCATGCCACAAACACTCTTCAAGCTCCAAGCTGATGGGAAACGAGAAAGGCGTTTCTCCCTGTCCCTGACCTGGACCCAGCCCCAGGCTGGCCCCTAACTGAAAGCTGCAGATCCTGCACCAGAGCCAGGGCCATCCTCAGTGCCAGCATTACTCAGATCCCCCATGGTGCCCAGTGGGGACGGGGCCAAGCTGCATAATTCATGGCCAATGTCCGCCCTTCTGGTGTGTCTGCCAAAGTGTCGCTGTCAGCCTGTAGGTGACAGCTATTGCTCACTGGTGAAGAGCCTTCTTATGATTTGCACTCTTCCTGCTCACGCTTATTCTTGAGACGTTAGAAGACAGCAATCCTGTCTCTTTCAAAGAGAGTTTCTGAAGGCTGTAGGCTGGTGGGCTAAAGAAGCTGCCAGCTTTTCACCCCAGAGCTTAAAATAAAAACCATTAATCTGCTGCACACAGAGAAGCATGATTCCTAATATTAAACCATTTACTCAGTTCAATGTAATTCAATGTGGCAAATCAGAAGGAAGTGCTTCTCTTCTGCCTAGCGTCCTATCTGTTTTTCATAGCATGAGATTCTCAGTCTTCTTGGAAAAGACCATTTCATTTACTAACAGTGAAAACAACCATGTCTTCCTTAAAAAAAACAAAACAAACCAACATACACACACACACTCGCACACACAAACCACTGGTGGTAGCTCACTCAACCTCTTCTCTGCCTTTGATTCACTCCTATTATATATATATGAAGTACTCACTGCTGAGAGCCTGGAGCCTGGATGGACAGTTGAACACTGATTGGGTAATTCACACAGTTCTGGGAAATAAAGTCAACAATCCACAGACTGAATCCACTTCTGGATGCTCCTCCACCAAGGACCCTTGACACTCAGTCTCTCTTTATTTCTGTTCAGAGCTGACTGTTTTCCCCCATCCCTCAAACCAAAGTTATAGCTTGGTAATTTCTTGTTTTAGAAAGTGACAAACAGAGCAGGCAGAGAAAACACTGTATATTTTGGACTAAAAAATGAAATCATTAGGGTAAGTTTCTATTCCTGGTGACTGGAATTTTACCCTGGTTCTGATTAAGCACAACAAAGATATTATATGTGATGCTTTCCTGTAAATGTATGAGATGGTTTTCTATGGCATGTCCATGAATGGAAATATTTAACAGACTCCACTTGGCCCCATCAGTCTCTGGCTTGGTCTTCACACCCAAAAAGCCAACCAACAGAGAATCACAACCCAGCCCAGACTGAGTAGTGCCTGTCTTGCTGTGTTTTTTTGTTTTTCGGTTTTTTCACAGTCTCACAATTAAGAGTAAATCTTATCCAGAAAATGTATGAGAGTACATGGAATAGACACATTCCCATGTCTATAAATTGCTCAGTAAGAAACAACTGCACGTTCTAAGCATCTATCTTCTGTACCTACATTACTGTCAGAATAGTGGGTCCATCCAGAATCTGTTCCTTGGTGGTTAGAGTATTTCAGCGAGGAGGGCATTTCAGTGATTGTGGGCTCCCTCAGGTTGTAAAGGAGAGTCTCATGACAGAGAAGTGGAGAAGTCAAGGTATTCTATAGATAGGAGATCACCATTCGATTTTTTTTTTTTTTTTTTTTTTTGCGGTACACGGGCTTCTCACTGTTGTGGCCACTCCCGTTGCAGAGCACAGGCTCCGGATGCGCAGGCCCAGTGGCCATGGCTCACGGGCCCAGCCGCTCCGCGGCATGTGGGATCTTCCCGGACCGGGGCATGAACCTGTGTCCCCTGCATCGGCAGGCGGACTCCACCATTCGATTTTTAAAAGCAATTAGGTAAATTCAAGAATAGAAAATATGCAGGATCCCACCTATACCTTATCCATATCACAGAAGCAGAAATCGGCCATCAGTACAAAGCCCAGAGGACAAAGCTGTCGCTCCTTTGAACAGTCAGATTTGTGAGCAGTCTGGAGAACAGTGACGAGGAGTGACCACAGAGCAGCCCTGTGCTCTTGTCCTTCACACATCCACTAAGCACTTGTACTTCCCCACTTCACGCGGAGGGCAAGTTTCCTTATCTGCAAACTGGGGATAATACTGATCTCAGAAAATTTTTAATAAGTATTTAAAAAGATAATCTCTAGAAAGCCCTTAGTAGAGTATCTGGCACGTAATACCCAATAATTGTTATTTATTATTAGTGGTCGTAACTGTATTCACTTCTAACCCATGGTTTATGCTAGTGAAGTACTTACCGTATTTTAATGCATCGTATTATACCACATTTAATTTTACACCTAAAATACAGGTAATTCCATCCTTATTGATGCCTCTCAGGCAGCCTAAGGGAGAGGCTTAAGGGGGCTCTTCGGGGGACTTCTATCCCACCCCCACCCTTTTGCCCCACAAGCCTAAACTCAAACTTCCAGTGTCTGAACAAGTGGATAAGGAAGAAGCACCCCAGGGAGCTAACCTTCTCCTGGGACACTGGCGGCCCTTCTCTGGCTGGCACAGAGGGGCCAGTAGGGAGCCACACTCGGGCTGGCCTTTAACTCCCAGGGAACTCCCCTCTTTCAAGTGGGAGCCAATCACTGCATGGAGTCCCACTAGTCTGAGGAGTACCTCCTGGAAGCTGAGGGGAGGGCTCTGGGAGAGCTTTCCCTCCCGCAGGGGCCTAAACACAAAGTCAGATTGTCTTCAGATTATGAACAAATAGAAAAGCTCAAAAGTGGTCGGCAACAGTGGTGCACTGATCCTCAAACAATGCACAGGCAAATGGAAGAACCGGCCTCATTTTGGAGGACGAGGTACTTAGTTCCTTCTTTACCTTTTGAAGTATATGTGTGTTTATACATAACGTCCTTGAATAGTCATAGATACTCTTCTTTTGAGATAATTTTATCAAATCTAAACTAGATAATGTCATCTATATTACTGGAAAAACAAAGTTAACAACAATAACAAAACTCAGGAAAAAGAAAGAAAAAAATACAACTTCCAGAATGGGTGCTGGAAAACAGTATGATGGAATACACAGACGGAAAGCAGGAATATTGATTTCTAGACCCAGCTCTGTTCACCACTCAGTTGAGTTATATGGAACATAAACAATTCACTTAACTACTTGGAAGAGACTAAATGACCCCCAGTCTTGACCCTCTTCTGGCTCAGCCTAAGAGGAGGCCTTGAGGAACACTGGTCAGACTTCCCTGCCTGACTCCAAAAAGTTCTTTAATCCTTTAGTAGTGGTGGTGGTGGTGATGCTGGTGATGGTAGTAATGGTGATGGTGGTACTGATAGTGGGGGTGTGGAAATGGTGATGGTAAAATGGTGGAAGTGGTGATTCTGGTGGTGGTGATGGGTGATGATAGGATAGAGGAGGTTGTGGTGGTCATGGCGATGCAGGCAGCCAAGGTGGTGGAAATGACAGTCATGGTGGTGGAGATAGTGGTGGTGGTGGTGACGGTTGAACATAATGCTTCCATGCTCTATGGCTCTGAATAAGAGACTTGTATAAATGCTGTGATAGATTCGAGAAGTAGGCAGAGGGCGGTGGGGCACTTAGGTACTAGGACTTCATGAGCACAAGTGCACAGAGCATCTGGTGCTGGTCTCTGCCTGTAACTACAACATGTGCATTTCGAGGTGCTTCCTCTCTTGGGGACAATGCAAGCAAAACAGAGATGCTTAGGCAGACATATACTGTTCTACTGGCTGTAAATTTGGGGGGGGGGCAGTTGTTGAAAGGTTTTTGCTTGTTTTATGCTTTGTTTTTAAATTTTTATTTATTTTTGGTTTTTATCCTTAAAAATGTTTCAGTCTGTATTTTGGGAATAGAGAAATCAGGTCTGCTGAAAGAAAGAAAAGTAGAAGTAATTAAAAAAAAAAAGCTGGGGCTGCAAGTCCTGGACACAGACGGGTGGACACAATGCAGGCAAAGAGGAGAGCCCTGCATACACAAAGTGCACCAAATCCGGTTCAGGCAGGGCTTAAAAGGCACCGAGGCCGGGCACGTTCACACAGGAGGGGTAGGTGCCCTGGGACAGAAGGTGAGGGCCAGAGCTGGGCCCAGAGGGAGCTGGGGCAGCCATTCAAGCACCCGCCTTCCTGGGGACAAAGGGTGACACTCTAGACCAGATATGGCGGATGAGCCCCTGGAAGGCCTTGGAAGGGCAGCTGTGTTTCACAGACAGAGGCCTGGAGCCAGGAACTCGGCTGATTCACAAAGAAAGGAGTGAAATGCTAACAAATGGTTTTCATTATCATCGTGCAGCCTCCACCCTCATTCCCTATGTGTGTGCTCTGCTTTTTTCTTTCTTTGCTTCATCTTTTCATGGGTTGTAACTAAACAATGAGGTGATTGCCGTCCCAGTGGATTGCACAACGTAACCAGTGGCTGGACTCGAGCATGGCTTTCTCCGAAGAAATTCTGAACTAGAAAAATAAGCAAGCTGGAAATAAGGAGTTTGTTCTGCCCAACACCTGTGTGCTTTTTAGCGCTTGTCATGAAGTCGGAATGAGGGGCTGCTGAGAGCTAAGACACTTGGTTCCTCAGCAGTGCACCTGTCGGCCCAGCAACGGGGCATTCTCCTTCTTAAATAAAGCACCACAGCGCCAACATGAAAGGGGGGCTTACCCAGTTATCCAGGAATATAAATTGGGACCACTTGTTATTTACCAATATAGTGTGAAATAATGATTTACTTTGAATAAACTGGTGCAGCTGTGGGAAGAGTTTTCAATTCTGTTCACTAAACATTCATTAAGGGCCTAACCTCTGAGACTGCCCCATGGAGAGAAAAACACCCAAGACCTCCAAAAGTGAACGAGCCAGCAGACACCTAAATCTGTCCCAAATCCCTGGATAACTGAGCATAAATTTGACCATGAAGATACCTCCGTGTCTTATTCTCCTTGTGATCCACTTTCCCTGTGAGGCAGCAATCACCCTAAGCAAAGATGCTATTAACTGTACAGGGCCTGGCAAGTTTTAGTCATAGCTGGAGTAGCTTCCTGCCCCTGACTACGACAAGGCTGAAGAAAATGGATCATTTCAAAAACAAATGTCTTAGTTCATTACTCAGCATCTTTGTCAGCAAATGACTGCAGATGATCATCCTGCAGCTGCCGACTGACTGTGTTCCACACTTGCTCAGACGGGGCCACTGAGCATGTGCCTGGCCAGCCATTCCAAAATGACTGGAATACAGACAACAACTGTAACACAAACAGGATTTCTTCCTGCCAGAGACAGCCAGACCAGGGCACGGGATGGACAGGAGGCATTGCCTTCTGTTCTGCACCAAGCCTGCCAGTAACCCACTGCCTGATTATAGCTGAATGTCTTTAACGGTGTTAATAAGAATAGCTAACATTTATGTATCACCAGCTAGATGCCAGCCACTGGGCTAAATGCTTATTCTGTTTACGCCTCTCAACAACTCAAGGTAGAAGGTATAATTATTCTGACCTTTGAGAGGAGACACTGAGGCACAGAGAGGTTAAGTCACTTGCTAAAGGTCACACAGCTGATAAGTGGTGGGGCTAAAATGCAACCAGCCCCAGGCCTCAGGGCCTTGTTTGACGTGGCCATCAAGGGAAGTGCAGAGTCACTAGTGACCCTTTCTTTACAGCTCTAACAGCCTATAATTCTGTAAAATAACAACTGAGATTCTAAAATAAATAGTTTTTATTTCTTTGAATCTTAAACATCTAAACTTACCTCTTGAGTGGCTGAGTGTCTGGTTTCTTTCTCTGTGTGTGCGGGGTGGGCGGGGGGTGATGGAGCAGGGAAAACTGTCTGTTTTCATCTTTGGAATTTCTAACTACCCACAATGTTCTGGGTCCCTGGAGACGATGCACTCTGTGGGTTCCTTGTTAGCTCTGGAGTAAATTTCCGCAGTGCAGGGTTTTGCTCTTGTTCATGATGTCACGGTCAAATAAAGCCTAAAAGAAGAAACACTAGAAGTTTGAGAATGTTCTGAAATATAATTGTATGAGAATCAAGTGACTTTAGGAGGACAGCAGGTTTTCATCTCCTCTGACCTTTCCTCCTGGGGTAATGAAGGAGCTAGATGAAACTCTTTAAAGTGAGCTTTAAAATGCCCATCAAATAGCCCCTCATTACAGTTAACCAGCCCGCTGACATTCCGACATTCCCCATCAGGCGTATATGACCTGTGTAGTAGGCGCCCACTTGGGGCTGGGATAGTTAAAGGCATACACAGGAAGTAGCTAAAACAGCCCAAAGACCCCTGACAAACACACACAGGGAAATAAATTCTTCATTTCCAGCTCTTATCTAGGTAATCCTCCGGTTACCTAGAATTCACATGTGCTGCATGCCTGGGCAAAGCTGGGCCAAGTTATCTCTTTCATACTTTGAGTCATTTTCTGGGTGTGAAGTCAGCAGACAAGCCAGGAAATGTCAGCACGGAAGAGCGAGGGAGTTGTCACTCCAGGGGGGCTGTGGAGTAGGATGGCATCTGACGTGCCCTTGGGACTCGGTGTCCCCAGGATGTGTTTGGTGCTGGCTACCTGTGAGCCATGTTTCCTTTGATGCAGGGTGGTTGGGTTGCAGCAGTTTTTGCAGTAAGATTGAAGTCCAGCTGCTCAAACAGAAATGGCCTCATCTCATGGACACTTTGAGTAAGGGTGACCTTTTGCTGGGATCTTTACATTCAAGCCCCACAGCTTGTCCCTTATCCTTCTTTAATGGAAGGATGAACTGCCTGCATTTTAAAAGCCCTAGAACACTGTGTATCTGTTTAGCCAAGATTTTTCCCGGGTCTTTTTCAGGGCTATGGATTTTTAGCTTGTCTTAATTTCTGAAGTTACATCTGAATTGCATTACAGACTTATGTGTTGTAATATTGCCTGACCTGTTGCTTGGGAAACATACCATACACTGAGAGGAAAAGGCGAGCTCAAGAAGAGCTGAGGACATTGAATCCTATAAAGCAAATGGAATAAAGAGCTTGGATCTGAGTTAGCATTCACGGGCAATGTTTTGTTTCCATTCATGTATTCTGTCCCAGGTGGGCATCTCGGTCTACAGTGGGCTGGGGGCCTCAGTAGGCGCTGGTATCGTTGGATGTAAACTTTGATTCCAACCAACCTGAGAGTCCCCCTTTCCCTCAATACCTCTTAGTCCCAAGTATTAGAACAACAGTCAGGAAAGGCCCAATGCGGAACTGAAATGGATCTTTTTCTTGTGGTTTAAGGATCAGCCAGTTGGAAACGAGGAGATGTTTTCTTAGGGTTGCAGAAGAGTTTGAAACTATTGGATTGTTTCTGGCACTCAAACGTACATTATAGATATATCATTAGTATTACTAAGCTGATGGGCTACACTACAAGGACAGTTATTTACTAGCATATTCTTGCAAAAATGTACTGCCCACAACTCTACAATGGAAGGCTGCTGTGTGTTTAGATGCCTTATCTTCTACCACATTCGTGTCATTGTAATTACCCACGTTACAGAAACCTCTCCGTGGTATTGGCATTGCACAGCTCATGCATCCACAGCTCATGAATCCAGTCGGGTAAATACCATGCAAATTGTGGCCTGCCACACACCCCAGAAGGCCACGCACGTTTGTAGCAAATGCTCTTTGATTCTGAAGCTCAGGGTCAACACCATGATGACTTCTTCCTTGAGCTGCGTCTCTGGGAAATGCTAGGAAGAGTTTGTAATTTATCTGGGCATCTCCAAAAGAGCCACAGGACCATTTCTCTTTTAGAGAAAAGTGGCAAGGCACTTTAGAGTTGTCAGCATTGAAACTTTCAAAAAGAATAGTGGTTTTGCTGAACCTTAATGTCTTCCTAAGTCCTTATTGCCAGAGGCTATTTTCCTATTAGATGTGCCAAAACAACTAAACAGTTAAAACACATCAAATGATCTCAAAATGGCCCAAACTGAATTTTTTCCCCCCAAAAAAAGCTCCTAGTCAGCAAACCCCACAGTCATATTCCATACGAGAAAACGTCTGGTTAGGCTAAAAATGAGGAAAACAGACTTTCAATGTAAAAGATTTCAAATTTTCTTTGTGTATAGGCTCAGAGAAAGAACTAACAGAGGGGAGAATTAAGGGGAACAGTTACAGCAGTGAAAACCACAGCGACAGCACCGAAAGTTATTATTATGCCCTCAGCAACATGTTCTTAATGCCCAGCCTTTCTAGTGAGTTTTCCCAGCCCACAAAACTCCAGCAGGTGGAATCTAGGAGGAAAGAGGCTGCAGTTCACTCCAGCTGCTCTAGCGTTTTTGATGTGGTGTAAACTGCTCTTGGGACTAGCCGTTGTGTCCCAGCACCTGCGAGGAATGAGAGGTCCAAGAAGTCTTTTTGGTCAGGCATCCCCCAGTTTTTGGTACTAAAACTGTCAGCAAATAATCATTGGACTTAATAATAAGCTAACCATAGCTCCAACACCAAAGAACATTTTAAGTGGCATGCCAGGAGTAAAAAGAAAACTTTCCAACTCACAAATGTCAATTATATCTAGACAATTGCTGGGGGTGGGGAGGTGGGAAGGGGAGACAGGGGCAATATCCCCCTGAGAGTCTGCAAGCTATATTCTCACACCTTCTTGTTGCCTATGATGTGACCATACCTGCACTTTATATTTTCTGAGATATATTAATTTCTTGATAATTCTTCTTAATTGCTAGCTCATCAAAGCCAGTGTCAAGTTTCCCATTCCTCCTGTACAGCTGTGATTCTCAGCCCTGGCTTTTGCCTGGGGTCACCTTGGGAGCTTTACAAAACAGTTTGTATTCTGAAATTGACCAAAAGATCATTGAGCCCATATGAAAGTGAAGGGGAGGCTGAGACAAGTGTCAACAGAGAGGGCCATACAAACACGCTTAACCTCAGGGGGTCTTCAGAAGATGCCTTAGCTCTAGCTGACTCAAGTCTGGTTGCTCAGGGGTTCTGGGGCGTGGTCTAGACATAATGTGGATCGTGAAATGGAAAGTTATAGTCAAGCAGGCACCCCACAGCAGTAGGCTGACTCTGGGTTATCACTCTCTCTCAGCCCTGGATCCCTCACCCAAGGGAGAGGTTGCAATTGGAAGGGGACCAGAATGGGACCCTCCAAAACAGTGATTCTCAAATTTGGATGTGCATAAGAATCACCTGCAGAGATTAAAACTCGGATTGCTGGGTTTCACTCAGCATTGCTAGGCCTATGGTAGAGCCTAAGAATTTGCATTTCTAACAAGTTCCAAGATATTGCCAGTACTATGGTAGACCTCACTTTGAGAAATACTGCTTTAAAGCCTGAGACCCAGGACAGGCCAGCATTGTCCTGGTCTAGAAGGGGTACACCAGATTTCAATAGCATTCTTTCGTGCCCTGTAAGAAGGAACAGAACACTGTCCTGAGATTTATTTCCATGCTTTTATAAAAGTGTGAAAACTGTCTAAGTGATTACCACCTGAGTTTAAGAATAGATACGCATTTGGGTTGTTTGTTCCTAATATCTTTGCATTAGAAATTGGTAATATTTAAATCGGATTTAATTTCAGAGCCCCAACCTCCACTAGCATAAGACTAAAATCAATGACAACAATATCTATGAAAATCACTTAGTGTTTCAGGATTCTGGGCCGGAAATTACTCTCTCCAGTAGTAAACTACCTGTACCTACACTGAACAAGAGAAGGCCAAAGACACAGTATAGCAATCAGGCATCTAGATGTGGTTGGCAGGAGACCCTGGCGTGCAAAAGTGGCTTGGCCCAGAGGTTGCAGATATATGGCCAGGGAACCCTTTGTGGTCGGTCTAGAGCTGATCCTCCAAGAAGGCAGGTCTGCCTAGGAGTTGTGGAATGTTTGATTTAGATGGACATTCTCTCTCCTTCTAATCAGCTGGATTGGAGGCCATCCTGCCTTACAGTGGAATATATAGAATATTTTCAAAGAGAGTCACTCCTACTTCCCTGATTGTCCCAAAGATTAAAGTGTAGGCCTTTTGTGTCACATAGGAAGGTACAGTCAGCAGATAGGTCACAGCAGTGAGCTCTGCAAGCTCCTAAGTACCTGCTACTGTATAAGGCCCATCACATACCTTTCTCACCCTCCCCCAAGACTCCCTCTTAAGCCATGTTGGACTTCTGGGGCTCTGTGATGCCTTTCCCTTTTTCCCTGATGCTCTCCTATTCATGCTTAAGAACCCTGCTCAAATGTTCCTTCCTCTATGAACATATGTCTCTGGCTAATCTGGCCAAATAAAACAAACTCCTCCCTCCACTGTGTTTTCCATATCATGTCAGATATCTATCATACTTAACATATTGTGCTTTAAATGCTGTTCGTGTGTTTGCTTTCCTTACCTCTAGCTTACTTGCTTTTGGAAGTTGAGCTGTGTCTCATTCTTCTTTGCTTCCCTAGCACTTAGCACAGTGGCTGGTGCAGCGCCTCCAAGTTTAGTGTTTAATTAATGAAATTAATAAAGTCCAGTGTTTGGACAGGCAGGAAAGCATTCCTTAAGCACTCAGTAAGGATGCAGGCTGGAAACACTAATGCCCATAGAACCACAGGCGATCAGAGCTGGAGGAGACCTTAGCTATCATCCCTGCTGGTTCCTCATTCTACGGAGAAGCCTCAGAGATGTTTAAAGATACTTGGCAACTTACCCACAAATGAGAGCAAAATGGGCCAGGACACAGCTCTGTAGATTCCAATCTGGTGATCAGTCGGGTTTGTCCAAACACCCAGCTGAAGGGTTTGTGGACCAGATCCTCTTCCCATGAGTGATGCAACAAGACCCTAGAATACTCACCTCTTGCTGTGGGGAACCTGCTATCCTCCCTCTCCTGTGCTCAATCCAACCCTGAGGGAGCCTGAAAATGGTCTTTGCTACGGAATCTAACTTTTTTTAGGGTGTTTGAGTAAGTGTTCATCTCTAGGCCTGAACCACAGTTGAGTACGTGTAGGTTTT